CACCCTCCACCGCGTGGTTCACCTCCTGGATGAACAGCTGCAGCTTCATCACCAGCGTTGCCGCATGGCCGTCCGCCTTCCCCGCCGCCGCCTCCTTGGCCCCGGCCCTGAAGGCTGAGTTAATCCACTCCTTCACGTCGAAGTCGTCGGCCAGGAACTTGGAAAAGTCCATGGCGGCACGTCCCGAGTCCCGGCGTCCAGGCCTGAGGGGCTTCTGGCGGCGACGCGGACGCAGCAGTGGGGGACCCCGCGACGGTGCGGGGCTGGCGCTCGGGGCTGCGCGCGGACCTTCGAGACGGACACCAGCCCCGACACCAGGCCCTGTCAGGGCTTCCGGCCGCGCTGGTGTGACCCTTGCCGCGCGCCGTACTTCTCCCGGAAGTAGGTGGCTGTTGCCATAGCGACCGGGGGTTCCGGTAGCGGGGCAGCGCGTCTGGCCGAACGGAGCGGGACGGCCGTCCCTGCTTCTCTGCTGACGCTGGCTGAGCCCCAGACCGTGTCCTCGCGGTAAGGGTGCGTTGCCCGCTCAGTCCTCAGCCCTGCGGGTCCTGCCGCTCTGACTGAGGCCCCTCGCCGGAGCGTGGCGCTGGCGGGATTTGAACTCGGGCCCGCTCGGCCCGCGGCCTGCACGCACGCGGTGCTGCGCTCCGAAAGGGAGCGGCCCCGGGGTCTCACGCCCGTCCCTCTCTGCGGACGCGCGGGGTACCGCGCCAGTCTCGCGTCTTGTGGCCTAAAGACAGCAGCAAGGAGGCCGTCTGGGAAGATGCCGTCCCCATGGGAGCCAGCTGTTCCCAGCCCTGTGTAGAGTTACAAATAGACCTGTTAACGTTTCTTTCATTTTCACCCGAGGCATGCTATGATTTTAAATGCGTACGATAATGCCTGAAGATCCTGTATAGCCCAGAACCTAAATCCATAAAGCACTGGTGTGAGCAGACTGCTGGAGAAGCCGGGCGTGCGGGGGTGCGCCCGTAACCCGGCTTGGGGCGCCCGCGCAGGAGCGGCGGGTGCAAGGCCGGGCGGACCTGTAGGCGGGACCCGTGCCGAAACAGACCTCATGCCTCGAGAAGATGCCCCACTTTGAAAAGCTGACGCTGTGTGTCACTTTTTCGGTTTACAGGATATAAAATCCACCAGATGTTAAGCATACTAAAATGAGATCCGTGTACCATGGATCAGTAATTTGTTCATGTTGTGGATGAGATTTTGGATGGATAGAACACTCTGCTTATTGTAATAACATTTTGTTTAGCCCCTTACTGGTTGATGGACATTTATTATTTCTTGTTTAGAATGGTGAGCTTTTATAGACATCTGTGTAAACATGTTTTCTCTTACGTAGGGCAGGCTCTTGGAAGTGGAATTGCAAAGGTGTGAAGTTCACGGAAGACACCGCCCAACCTTTCCCGAGCGCCTGGAGCAGCTCACCTTACCATCAACAGCTGAGGGGTCCCATTTCGCTGCAGGGTGTAGTGGGATGTCGCTGTTTTGCCGTTTCCCTCGTGACCAGTGATGTTGAACATCTGTCCAGTGTTCACCAGCCATTCTTACATCTTTTTGGGGAAATGTCCCAAATGTTTGTTTTGACATGCAGATAAATTTCATCCCAGGATTATCGGTTGAAAACTTTCCATTGGATCGCCTTTACATTTTGGTCAAAACCAAATGACCTGATGATTCATTCTTTATATGCCTATTGTACTAATACCAGACTCCCCGATTACTGTAGTTTATAGTAAATTTTGAAACCTGTTAGTCCCCCTACTTGATTTTAAAAGTTGTTTTGAGGGCCGGCCAGATAGCTCAGTAGACTAAAGCACCTGCTTAGGCAGGCGCAGGGACTGGGGTTTGATCTCAGGCATGCCATGCCAGCCCTGCCCCTGGGGTGTGCAGAGAGGATGAGGCATGGTGGCACGCACCTGTAGTCCCAGAGCTTGGGAGGCTGCAGACAGGAGGATTACCATGAATCTGATTTGTGTACTTAAGACCCTGTAGACCCTGAGCTAAATTCATAAAAAACAAAAGTTGTTTTGCACCAAATGTGGTGGTGCGCCTCTGTAAACCCAGGGTTTGGGAGGCTGAGGCAGGAGGATTGCTGAATTCCAGGCCAGCCTGAGATACTGAATGAAATCCTGTCTCAAAAAAAATAAAATATAGGGGCTGGAGGATGGCTCAGTGGTCTAAAGCACCTACTTAGAACAAGCTTGGCAAAGCACAGGGACCGCAGTTCAATCCCCCAGCACCACATGCAGCCAGCCCCGCCCCCTGGTGGGCTGAGCAGGCCACACACACACACACTAAATAAATGTAATAAATAGATAAATAATTAAAAAATAAAATAAAATATAAAATTGGTTTGCTACTCCAGGCCTCTTGCATTTCCATCTTATAATCAGCTTATTGGTTTCTACCAAAAAAAAAAAAAAAAAAAAATCCTGCTAAAATTTTGAAAATGATTATGCTGAATTTATAGATCAATTTCATAACTGTCATCTTCACTGTATTTTACTAGGCACGGTGGTGCATCCTAAACCCACCGCTTGGGGGGCGTTGGCAAGAGCATCACCCTGAATTTGAGGCCAACCTGAGCTACATAGTGACCTCCTGTCTCAGACAAAACCCACGAGTGTATCAAACTTAGCAACCCAGAACATGAAATGCCTCTCCAGTTACTTAGGAACTTTGAGCACTAGCACTACTGACATTGGAAGCTGGACAACTTCTCGTCCTACGCATTCTCAGGTGTGGCACCCCTGGCCTCCACCCAGCAGGTGCCAGCAGCTGCCCCTCCAAGATATGACCAGCAGAGACATCGCCACATACCGCCAAGTCGTCCTTGGCAGAAATAACCATCTGGGCTAGGAACCTTGGATTTGCATCTTTTTTCTCAGATATTTGTATTTTTCATTGTGTAAATCTTACAAGTATTCCATGCTTTTAAGGCTTCTGTGAGTAAAATCTTAATTGTGTATTGTTTCTTGTAGAAATAATATAATTTTTGTGTATTTGTCTGGTACCCTTTGACTATGCCAAATTTATCATCCCATTACTTGGGTATCTCTGGGATATGTTTACATGGAGTATATCATCTGTGAATATAATTTTCCTTTTTTCTAAGATGCCTTTTTAATATCTTCCTACTAATTGAGTTGGTTAGAAACTTCACTGCAGTGTTGAACTGGAAAAAGGAGACACCCTTAGCTGGGACAGTGGCCCATGTCTGTAATCCCAGCACTACAGGAGACTAAGGCAAAAGGGTCACAAATTCCAGTGTAGCCTGTACAAGTTTTGTGAAGTCACATCTCAGAATGTCAAAGGCCTGGGGATACAGTTCAGTACAAAGGCTACAGGTTCAATCCCCAGTGCCAAGAGACATCCTGCTTTGTCCTAAGTCTTAAACATTGATCTTATTTCTTCCCCCCTTCGGCAGAACTGGGGTTTGAACTCAGGTTCTTGCGCTTCTACTGAGCTATCTCCTCGGCCCCTTAACCACTGATCTTTAACACTCAGTCTTTGGCATTATCTGCGGATTTCTCAGATAGCTTTTCAAGTTGAACAAGTTCCCCTTCTAGTTTTAAGAAGCTAGATTTTAGTTTTTCAGTGCCTGAGATAATCATCAGGTTTTTGTCTCACTGTATTATACAATAATTGATTTTAAGCTGGCTTTACACTCCTAGGACAAATTCTACTTGGCCATGATGCGTCATCTTTCTGGCATTTATCTGTGCATGTGCACGTGCCTGTGGGGGTGGCAGCCAGGGCCCTGTACAGCTAGGCAGCTGCGGAGGCCTGTGCCACCACACGCAGCTGCTAAGCTGTTGGCGAGGACTGTGTTGGGTGGGACGTTTGCTTACGTTTTCTTTTTCTGTCTGATTTTGGTATGTCTAACACTAGCCTCGTCGAATGAGCGGATGTGGAGGGCCACCTGAGCAGCTCTCCTGGAAAGAAGAGCGACTGTCTCCTGCTGACTGAGCCTGACCCTATTTCCCCGGATTGGCGGGGACTTCTGTTTAGCCTTCAGTTGGCCTTAAGCAACGCGTAGTGGTCCAGCAGAGGTGCTGGGGATAGTCTTTGAAGGCGATGCATGTTTCCCTGGTAACCTACACCTGTGGCTCCTTTATGTGAGCTGGGTGGGGACAGGATGGTGGAGCCGATTCTCCGCACCAGAGGCTCTGACTTCCTGGGGCTTGAAAGACCACATCAAAGCTGAAGCACCAGCTTCCCAAAACATTAGATACTATGTAATGCAGATTACTCTCCGCACACGGCAGAGGTAAATGCAGGCCGCCCCCTAGCTCGGCTCACAATGATCACCTACTTCCCACAATTCTCAGTCAGTTCTCCTCAAGCCACTCCTCCGCTAAATAAAACCGGGTGAGGCCCTGGGTCGCTCTCTTCGTTCCAGAAAGCCATCTTCGTGGCTGGACTTAGAGCCCCTTGACTCACCAATAATTGAAAATATAATTTAGTGTCTTTACTTTCGCCGTGGGTTGCATTGTAAATGGTAGACTGGAATCAACTAGATGGGACTCCAATAACGTAACTTTGTTACAAATATTGGCTTCTTGGACCGAGAGGAGGACCTGGAAGTGTCTCCTACAAGCTGAGAAGTGATCCTTCCCTACTGAGTTTGTGACTGAATTGTTAAATTTGACAAAAATCAAGCTGAAGTCATCTGGACCTGGATATTTGCTTGTAGGAAGATTTTAAACTAATCCAAGTTTTTTGTTATGTCTGTTCCAGTTTCCCATTTCTTCAATCAGTTGGAATTTAAGCTTTCTTAAAAGATTTGCCATTTAAGTTAAATGTCTGAGAAATTGTTCATATTCTCTCTTAAGTTTCTGTAGAACGGGAGGGCACAGCCTTCTTCCTCAGAATGTGCCTTTTCGTGGCCAGTCTAGCTCAGTAGTCCCCACCATCTGGCCTGCAGGACCAGCTTCACAAAGACAATGTTGCCATCACTGTGGGCGGGAAGGTGGCTTCAGAGTGACCCGAGTGCACGGATGTGTGCGCTTTTCCCAGTACACTGTAACGTGACTGTCCAGCTCACCACGCAGAGACAGTGGGCGTCCCTGCGCTCGTTCTCCTGCAGCTAGACGGTGGCGGTCGCTGCAGAAAACCCGGCTGCACGAAGCCTGGCTGCTGGGGCCAGGAGGCAGCACAGCGGTTTAAGCACCTGCCTGCCAAGCGCAATTTCCTGAGTTTGATCCCCGGTACCCAAAAATAGTAAAACTAGGCTGATAGAAATGGAAGGAGGCTTTCAGTACTTTTGTGGACATTTCAGGAGATCCCACCTTGACTAATGCAGACCAGAGACTTAGAGCTGTCTCAGACACTCCTCTAAGGGCACTGTCACTCTGGCAGCGGATGCTCAGACAAAATACTTCACCTGACTTACAGTGGGTCCCCCCCCGCCCACTTTGGAGGCAAGGGGGTCTTTTAGGGCTGGGAAGAGATGCTCAGCCTCTGAAAGCTGAGATGAAGGGCTGGCCAGACAGCTCAGTAGACTAACGCGCCTGCTAAGGCGGGCGCAGGGAACGGGGTTCAATCCCATGTGCCACGCCAGTCCCACCCCTGGAGCACGCTGAGCTGGAGACCAAGACTGGGCACGGTGAGGCACGCCTGTAATCCCAGCACGTGGGGGCTGAAAACAGGAAGATCACTACGAGTCTGGGTAGTGAGACCCTGTACCAAAAAAAAAAAAAGTATAATAAGGAAAGAAAGCTGAATTAACTGAGCATGTACTGCTGGAGAAGGTGCCCCTGGCTGAGTCTGTCGGGCTGCTTCAGCCAGGTGTGGTGGTGCACACCTGCAATCCCAGCACCTCGGAGGCTGAGGCGGGAGGACCACCATGACATGAGCCCCCAGACAGCCTGGACTACAGAATGAGCTCAAGGCCAGTCTGAACTGCATACCGGGACTGTCTTTTTTTTTGTTGTTGTTCCTCGAATGCCTTCAGGGCACTTTTGGCCAGCGGGAGAGTTGTGAGGTTCGAACTCCAGCCACCTGAGGCTGACAGCTTTGTGGAAGCAGCCACTTAAAGGACTGAGCTAGGGCCAGGCCCCCCCCGGGACTGTCTTTAAAAAGGAACAAAAAACCAAAAACCAGAACTCTGCTGTTTGAAATGTCACAAATTCCACCGTTTGCTCACTGCCCCATTTCCAGCTGGGCTTGAATGCAGCTGCTTCGGGCGCAGGGTCCTCCTCCCGCCTCCCCCGCAGCGCAGGAGGAGTGTACCATACACGTGTGCCTTGTCACTGCGCTGTGCTGCCGGCGGTGACTTCCTGACAGCTGTCCCCGTGTCGGCTCGTGTAACTCAAAGCCCTGGCAGTCACTTCTGTGTACACCGCTCTGCGCTCACGTCTTCAGAGCTGTGCGGACGCGAGGCGAGGCGAGGCGAGGCGAGGGCAGGTACTGCCGTGGTGCTGTTCACTGCGATCACGGCGCGCAGGCGATGCTCTGTGGCCAGGCAGCGCTTCTCCACGGATGACTGCACTCACTCAGAAGCAAGCTGTCCTGCACAGCGAAGCCAGACGGCGGCGTCACAGCAGCCACTGCCCGTGCACGCCCTGACGTGCGACCAGAGATGCGAACAGTTGTGCAGCTGTGGCGGTGGCCGGCAACAGAAGTGCTCGTCACGTGCTCATGCTCACCAGACTGAAAACTATCCCACCAAAATAAGCACCGCTGGGGCCCAATCCCTGGCTCCGCGGAGAAGTTCCATAAATAAGCACTGCTGCCTTAACACCAGTGGACCCTCAGCCTGGACCGTGCGCCGCGGGGATGCTTCAGTCCTAACAACCACGTCTCCTGTTCCATCAGCTTACCCAGTTAGGGGCCAGCCCAGAGAGAAACACCGGCTACCTTCTGAGTGCCGCCTGGCCTAAGGGTCATGGCGAGGTCCTTCACGTGGAGGCTCAGCGTTAGCGACGCGGTTACGCAGGAACAGTGACTTCTCGGTACTGACACATTTATGAGGCGGCAGTCTTCAGTAAATGCCTTTTGCTTCCAGGAGACTCCCACAGCTCACCGGTTAGTGCAGGGTGCTTGGTCTCCATGCAGCAGAGCAGCTTGGAGGGTTTCAAGACTTCACTGGCGAGCCGGCCAGCAGACGTCATAAAACATCCTTGAAGAATGCGAGCATTGCAGTGAATCTGTAATTGAAAGACTTACATTTTCTTTTCAATGTATTTTCTGCGGGCCGGCCAGACAGCCCAGCAGACTGAAGTGCCTGCTTAGGCAGGTACAGGGATCAGACTTCGATCCCCCGCGTGCTGTGCTGGCCTGCCCCCAGGGCATGCCGAGACAGCAACTGAGGCTGGGCGTGGTGGCACAAGCCCGTAATCTCAGCACTTGGGAGACTGCAAACTAGGGGATCACTATGAGTCCGGTCCGTGTAGTGAGACCCTGTAAGCCCTGTGCTAAATACAAAAAAAAAGGTAAAATAAGTGTACTTCTTCTTACAGGCAGTTTTAGTTTCCCACTAGGTTCTGCCCCCTTTCCAAAGAAACTCTCCAGAGCTGCTCAGCTTTTCTTCATTTTGGCTAGAGTGAGCTCAAGGGTTCACCATGACTAACGAATGTGTACTAAGAAAAAGCAGTGCAGAGTGTGAACAATACAACTGAAGCACATCACGTCCTTGCCACCAGGTGCAACTTGTCCCCCGGGACTCGCACATCACGTCCTCGCCACCAGGTGCAACTTGTCCCCTGGCACTCGCTGGTAAGCTCTGGTACGTCTCTAAGCAACTGCTCTATTCGTGGCTGTGCACGCAAATCCCTGTGCCAGTGTGAACATGTGCCCCCGCTCCCCAGTGCTGGCATCAACCCTCGGCTATCTGGAGCATAACCTCGCAACCTGGACCCCCAGGGCCTGGTTCAGTGGGGTCTGCACGCCCGGGAGACTCCAAGGCCACTGCTGAATGGCAGGAAGGGCGCGAGGGGTCACGTGAGGGGCGGTGAGGCTGCGAGCAGAAATGGATCTCCACTGGCTGCTCAGCTAATGACCGCGGGCTGGTCAGCCTGGGCTCTAACAGGACAGGGACCCGGGAGGTAGGGAGCCCTGACCTAGCTGACATTTGTGATGTTATTATCACTTCAGAGAAATTATCGTTTTGAATTCAGGCGGGATCCTCCTATGTTGAATGCTGAGATTACCAGTGAGCACCACCACGCCGAAGCTCGCAGTGACTTTTCACTAATCAGTTTCCTTTCTTCTCCTTTCTTGAGCTTAATTTATCTAGTATATTAAGGTAAAATCTTAGGTTACTGATCTGAAATTTTTTCTAATATAGTCACTTAAAATTATTAATGTCCTCAACTTCTGATGTATTTTCATTTGATTCAAACTATTTTCTAATTAGCATGGCGGGATACCCCTATAATGCCCGCATTTGGGAGGGCCGAGGCAGGAGAATCAAAGTTCAAGGCCAGGGCTGGTGAGATGGCTCAGTGGTCTAAGGCACCTACTTAGAACAAGCTGAGCTAAGCAAAACACAGAGACCGCGGTTCAATCCCCCAGCACCACATGCCAGCCAGCCCTGCCCCCTGGTGGGCTGAGCTGGCCACACACACACACAAAATAAATAAATAAGTAAATAAATAATCTAAAAAAAAAAAAAAAAACAAAGTTCAAGGCCAGCCCGGACTACATAGTGAGTTCAAGACCAGGATGAACTATATAGCAAAATCCTGTCTGAAAAAGGCTTGCTTTCTAATCACATTTATGACTTAACCTATGAATTACTTGAAGTTATTTGAAGGGAGGAGGAAAAAAAGGAGAGGTGGAAACAAAGCTGTACAAAAGGAGGGGAAGGGCTGAAAGGATGAAAATGGGACAAAGCAGGGGGACGGATGACATACATAATCCCTATGATGAATGTTGTTATTGAATGTGTCTCACTTTTCTTAATTTCTAATCTTGTTCCCTGTGGTCACAGACAAACTTTGTACCAGGTGTGGCACACTCCTGTAATCCCAGCACTCAGACAGGAGGACTGAGTTCAAGACCTACCTGGACCACACAGTGAAATCGAGGGCAGCCTGACCTACACAGTGAGACCGTCTCAAAAACTAAAAAACAAACCCAAAACATTGTATGATTTAACTTTTTTAAAAATTGAAAAAATAGGGGGCCGGGGAGACGGCTCAGTAGAATAAGCACTTGCCTGGCAAGCACAAGGGCCCGAGTTCAGTCCCCAGTTCCGCAAAAAAAAAAAAAAAAAAAAAAAAAAAAAAAAAAAAAACAAAAACAAAAAAACCCTCTTTTACATGTGGTGTTAAGTCCTAAAAAATATTCCATGTGCACCTTAAAAACAAAAAGTACCTGCGGTTATGGGTAAACTCAGCAATTAGTGGTGTTCAACGATTTTATATGCTGATTTTGTCTAGTTCTACCAATTATTGAAAATAAGGTGTTAAAATCTCTAACTACTACTGTTAAATAGCCCATTTCCTGTTTTTCCTTCAGGTATTTGGGGCTCTGATGTTAGGTGCATATGTAATCTTTATCTTAATACAAGAGATTACCAATACTATTATTAAATGTACCTTCATTTCTAGCAATACTGTCTTAAAAGTCTGTTCTGGCTCAGCGGCCTAAGTGTCTGCCTGGCAGAGCCAAGGTGCTGAGTCGATCCCCAGTACCAAAAAAGAAAAGCTCCTTCTGTCTGGCGTTAAGCCCTACTTCAGGCTTTTACCTCCCCACTACTGGATACGAAACTCAAGACCATTCCATGGAATGGTAGCTCCAGCCCTTTTTATTTCTGAGACAGGGTCTTGCTAAGTTGCTAAATTGTTCAGGCTGGGCTTCCACATGCAGTCCTGCTGCCTCAGTCTCCCAGAGCACTGGGACACGAGCGTGTGAGAGCGTGTGACCCGACACCCAGCCTGGATGTGGCAACATGTAGCAAACTAACTGGGTAAAACAAAACCGGGTGACGCAGGTGAAGCTGAAACAAGGACCCACTCAGTCTGGGTGCAGGAAGATGGCTTCTGTTCTTGGGAGCCTGAAGCAACAGTGGCACCCGGAGAAAGGCGTCTGCTGAGCATGTGCGGTGCAGATCTGACGGCGGCAGGGGGGAAGCCTGAGACGAGGGCTAGGATTCACCTGGTGCCTCCCAAGAGCGTGAGGGCCACACTGTGGAGATTTAAGACTCAAGGACTAGGCCCACCACCTAAGGGGCAGAGGTAGATCAGTGGCGAAGGCCCCGAAAAGGCTCGGAGCGCACACTCACTGGCGGGAGTCAGGTGTCCGGCCGATTACACTACGCATGCAGCTCCCCGGAGGACCTGGGTCACCACCCTCTGTGGTACCTGCCACAGTGCCTGGCCCAGGCCAGGCGGTCAGGTGTGGTGACCCCCACATTCCGTGCAACTGTCCCGAGGCAGAGGACCATTTTCTCCTGGAAACGGGAGGATCCTTGTGCACATGCACGAGTTCCCCTTCCAAGTACTGGATAAAAAGCCTGTGTCTTCATGTGTACCATGACAGGTTCTTCATAGGCATGGTGACTGGGACGGATACGCCTTGTAAGCTAACGTAACAGCTATGGAGCCTGTAAAAGCTAAAAACACCTCCGTGTCATTTTGGACTAAATTATGTCAAATGAAGAACCCATCCCAATTCGTTTAATAAATTTTCATATTTGCTTCAAAATTGGCAAACCCAGGCTGGGATGCAGCTCAGCAGCAGTGTCTGTCTGGCAAGCGTGAGGTCTTGAGTTCAATTTCCAGTACCAAAAAAACATTAGCAAGCCCATTCCCACCAAATAATGTTGGCAGATTTTTTCCTTTTTTAGATAGGGTCTGGCTTCACAGTTCAGTTCGGGCTGGGCCCACATCTGTCCCCTAAGTGCTAGGATTCCAGGCATGCACCACCCACACCTGCCCAGACTTCTTCTTTCGTGTCACAAGATAGGCCAGAGCCCCAGGCCTTGCGGGCATGAGCCGCCCTGGGCTTCCTCAGTCCACCTCAGCCAGGCCCTCCTGCCTTCTTCCACTGGCCAGGCACACAGCAGGCGCTCACCAAGTACCACCTGTGGCCTGAATCCCCCGACACTAAGCCTACCACGTCCAGCCTCCTCTGATCGTAGGGCTATGCCCCTCACCGACAGCCAGAGCTCTCCACCCTCCCACAGCTTTGCTCAGGCCTTAAGAGCAGACAGTCCTCCTCCAGCCGAGCCGCATCTCCTACCTCCGTGACATTCCACACGGCAGACTGGCCACATGGCATTTATTCTGTGACCACCTACAGTCACTCCATCCGAGACCACTTAAGTCGCGGCGGGACTCTCTTCATGCCTGCCTCCATCGGAGTCCCCACCTCGCACTGGGAAGTCAACAGGCAAGGGCTGCCTTGTGGCTACCACGGTGTCCCACAGAGATGTGCGAAAATGCTTGCAAGGACAGAGGATGAGGACAGACGGGGTCTCGAGGAAGGGCCCAGGCGGGCTGTCCACCCAGGGGACCTGGCCTAGGTGTGGCCGTCGGGGGCAACTCGAGGCACAGTGGTGAAGGGCATGGGGGCTCGCCTGGTGGGCTGCAGGGGGTGCAGCAGCCCCTCCGCTGGAAAAGGTGCATCCAGCATCCCGCTTGGGAGATGTGTGGCACGCGGAGAGGCACTGCTGAACGAACACGGAGACAAGGTCTATCATGGAAGAGCGTACCTCGGTGACACTCGCTGCCCAGGACCAAGCAGTCCCTAGTGAGGTCCCTGAGAACAGCAGCCTGGCAATGACCGAGACTTTCAAGGGCTGACAAGGCACAGAGTGGATGAACAAACAGGTAACAAGACATGAAAAAACTTTGGCTTATAAAACCTCCAACCTGAGGCAGGGACACCAGTGCCTACCAACGTGCAGGAGGAGGGTGGCGGGGAGATGCTCATCGGGGTTGCTCCGGCGGCTCCACACTGCCCACGCCCCACCCACAACACACAGGCACTGGATCTGCAGAACGGGCAGAGGCTGGCCCTCGGGGCCTGACATCAGGACAGAACGCTTGGCACGGCACAAAATCAGCAAGTCCCAGCGGGGCAGCCCGAGAACGGGGGCTGAGCCTGGCTTCAAGGTCCACCTCGGGCAGTCAGGCTGCACCCAGCAGCGCCAGGTCGGGAAAGTCTCTCACTTCTCCCACTTCACTGAAGGGCTGTCCACCCTGGTTGAATGTCAGCTTATACCGTAAACGGATGGGTTCCTGGGACAGAAGAGATGCGAGATGTTCCGTTAGAGGGGGGCAGCAGAGGCAGCCCAGAGAAGAACCACTGCTCCACCCAAGAGCCGCCAAGGAGCAACCTCCTGAGAATGTCCTCTGGCCGCACGGGCTGCACACCTGGCCCAGCCTCCGTGGAACTACAACCACTAGGAAACCGGACAGACATCCTGGAAGCCTTGTGCGGGCCCGAGACAGACTGCCGTTCCGAAGGACTCTCGGAGGAAGGCGGGGTCCTCCTTAGCGGACTCTGAAGCCTTAGGGTCACTTCCTTGATTCTCAGCACAATAATCCATCACTGCTTTTAATAATCCCCCAAGAAAACTAGACCTTAGCAAAGGATGCTCCAAGTACCCCACCTCTGCCAACCCAAGACCTGACAGCAAGGCCTCACACCCGGCTCTCCGGTGATGCAGGGCAGGGGTCCCCACTTCCCTGCCAGCCAAGACATCAGAACATACTTTGTGTGGATTGTCGAGCAGCAACACCTGAGAGATCACGGCAGGCGGCAGCAACGGGCTGAACGCAGGAAGCTTGGAGCTGGACGCTGGCTGCAGCTTCACTCGCATTGACTGTGGGGAAAAGCAGTAGGTGACTGATCCTTGACGGAGCCCCGGGCACAGGCGCTCAACCTCCGCTTCAACCACCCCTCAAAGAAACGGGCTTCTCGGCGCTTACAGGAGCTCAGGCAGACACCTCCCACTAGCTAGAAGCACTCTGAAAGCCTCTCCTATATGCACGGTACTCCTGAGGGTGCGTGGGCATCGGCGGGCATCTGACAAGCAGACTAAACAGCTAGAGAAGCCAAGGTGCTGGCACGCGCCTACGATCTCAGCACTGGTGCAGGCCGAGGCAAGAGGATCGCATGTCTTGAGCCCAACCTAGGCAACTCAGTAACACCCTGTCTTGAAACAGAAAAGGGCTGGGAGGCCAGGCGTGGTGGCGCACACCTGTAATCCCAGCACTCAGAGATCACTGCAGAAGTCAGTCTGGGCTACTAAGTGAATGTCAGGCCAGCAAGAACTACACAGCGAGACCATGTCTCAAAAAAGTAGGGCGCGGCTAAAAATGTAGCTCAGTAGAAAAGTCCTGAGTTCCGTCTCCGGTACTATAATAAACAAACTCCAGTTAATTTTCCCTCTGCCTCTTCTTATTCCTGGGACCAAAGGCTACATATTTAACTGCTGAGACTTGTACTGATAACTCATAATTATAGCGGCACATATGCCAGGTATAGTGGTGCACCTGCAATCCCAGCACTCAGGAGGCTGAGACAGGAAGATTGCGGGGAATTCCAGATCAGCCTGGGCTACAAAGTGAGAACCTGCCTCAAAACGAAAAATGCAAGCAAAACAAAAAAGCAATACATATCCAAGTGTACCATGAAGATTAGAGCAAAGTGGCTCACATTTGCCTTCACTCTCTCCTTTCCCTGCCCCAGGGACTGCTACAGCACTATCGGGCCCCATGTCCCTTGAAAAAGGGTGGACACACATTCCAAACGGGCCAGACACGTCATTTCCCTTGGACACAGTAATGCGAACAAAGCCAGTCACGTCCCTTTCTTAGACAGGCCGTGTGTGTGTCACAGCAGGTCAGTTTCTTTTCCATCTTCTAAGAGACAGAGTCTGTCTTGCTGGGTGGGTCCCCAACTGCCCTCCAACCTCAGCCTCCCAGTAGCCAGGACACCAGGCACAGCCCACCACACCTGGCTTGGACTTTCCCTTCTGTGGTGACGCGAGCTAAGGACCACGCAGCCCGCAGCTGCTGCAGTCACGAGCCTGCTCTGCACAAGACTGTCCAAGATCAGTCCCCAAGGAAAGCAGCAGCTAGAGGTGCAAAGACACGCTCCAGGAGTTACTGACGAGCCCCCTGGGCCCGCTCGGATCTTAAGACAGGAACCCCTGGTCAAGAGAGGCGATAAAAGCCCCACTGCATCTTCTTTTTTTTTTTCTTGGCAGAACCGGGGATTGAACTCAGGTCCTTGTACCTGCCAGGGAAGCACTTATTCCACTGAGCCATCTCCCAGGCCCTCCATCGCATTTTCACACTAGTCTAAGTGCAAGTCATGTCCCAACAAGGACCTGTGTTCAAAAATGCATTTTCTGCCATGAAAATCTCGAGGAGGGAGGAGGCAGCCGGCAGCCGGGAACTCACCTTGGGCGCAGCCACCTGAAGCACGACGTCCCACACGGGCTGGGGGGCGGTGCTCATCATGGTCAGCAGTAACACCTGCACCTCTGGGTAGCCAGGCGCCCCAGTCTGCGAGAAGTGGAGCAGAATTCTGAAGCCGTTCCGGTCATAGACGATCACAGGAGGCAGGCTGCCTGGCAGAGGACCGACCGGAGGGTGAGCAGCACCGCCTGGCTTGAGAGGCTGTGCCCGGGCCCGCCAGCGCCTCTGCTCCCGCCACTCCTGGCTCACCCCTCCACCATGACCAAGTCCTCGTCGTCTCTTGGGACCCCTCGGCCCTCCAACCTGACCTCTCGTCAGCATTCAACCACCCTAAGCACACTGCCAGGATTTTTATTTATCTTTTTTGGCGGAACCAGGGATTGAACTCAGGCCCTTGCGCTTGCCAGGCAAGTGCTTAATCTACTGAGCCATCTCCCCGGCCCCACTGCCAGGATTTTTAAAATGACCTTTCTGAAGGAAATGCTATGGTTAAAATAACGGATGAACACCACATAAAATACAAAATGCCAAGAAATAAACAGTCCCTGGACTACCCAGAAATAAGCAGCACAGACACGCAGGCTTATTTCATTCTGGCCTTCGTATGACTACCTACGTGTGACCACACCCAGCCTTATACTTAGCTTTACAAAAGTATGAGAGTGAACCTCAAATTAATAGATTTAATGAAATTTAATTTAGATTGTTTTAGCTTCTAAAAAGATTGTTTTGGGGGGTATTCGTGAGACTAACCAACAAAAGATCGCGATACTTGTATTACAAATAGATACGAAGTTCTAATCCAAGTAAGGTGCTACCAAATGGAGCATGAGGAATAGATCAAACACACATTTAACATAAAGAAAAACTACTCTGAAATCGATGGCTGATTCAATCAATGACACGAGCTAGGCAGGGGAGACACTCCTGTAATCCCAGGCGAGGCTGAGGCAGGAGGATCCCCATGAGTTCAAGGCCAACCTGGGCTACATAGCGTGACCCTGTCTCAAACAAACACACACACAGAAACCACCCAAATGTCTAACCATCTCGGGAAATTATTTTCTACTTTACATTTTTTTACACTGCAATGTCTAGATCTGTGGCTTACTCAAGAAGAAATGCTTGAATTTACATCAAGGACATATTTATCCTAGTGGAATAAAAGAAACAGAAAAGACCATGTACATGGATTTTCTTAAAAAAATGACTACATGTTTCACTTTGTCTTACTTTTGCTAGTTTGGACCACTTTTCTTACTAGAGACTTAATCTTACATACATTTTTTTTTTAAATTTTATTTATTTATTTTGTGTGTGTGTGTGTGTGTGTGTGTGTGTGTGTGTGTGTGTGGCCAGCTCAGCCCACCAGGGGGCGGGGCTGGCTGGCATGTGGTGCTGGGGGATTGAACCGCAGTCCCTGTGTTTGCCAAGCTTGTTCCAAGTAGGTGCTTTAGACCACTGAGCCATCTCACCAGCCCCCTTACATACATTTTAAGTCTGATTTTTCCCCACATTTTAAAACATTAAATGGTGCATCTTACAAAGTATGAACAAATGACTGAGAACAATATGAGAAACAAAATTTGAAGGCAAAGAGCCCAAAAAGCTGTTCTCTTGCAGCGGGCCAGCTGCGTGGCCATGGTCCTGTGCTCACGGCCGGGCAATGCCCTCTGAGCAGGCACCTCAGTGCCAGGAGGCCACACCAAGGGTTTCAATGAGGGCGTTTGCCACACCCCAAGCACCACTTATCAAAATGCATACTGTAACAACACAGCTTTTGTTGGGGCTGTCGCTCAGTGGCCCAGCACCTGCCTGCAAGCGCAAGGTCCTGGGTAGGCTCCTGGGACTAAATGATTACGCTTTTCTTTCTTCTTTTTCTTTGCGGTCCCGGGGATTGAAGCTAGGACCCTGCACTTGCCAGGCAAGCACTTATTCTACTGAGCTATCGCCCCAGCCCTAAACTATTAAACTTTGATGAAACGGTCAAGAACTGTGAAGACTGAAACTACCACTGAGGTCGGAATGGTGGCGAGCATACAGGGAAAAGGCAACCTACTGGGAGGGAAGTGGTGATGCAGACGAAAATGTTTGGCTGGAGTTCAATCTCCGGTTCCGCCAAAAAAAAAAAGAAGAAAGAGAATGTTTGGCTGTACGCTAGCATCTCGCCGCCCTTCCAAGTGGCCTACTCGCTAGGGCAGCAGCAGGTCTGGGGGCTCACGCAGGAGGGGGAGGGTGCACAATTCTGCTTTTAACATTACATTTGCAACTTTGCTCTATAATTTCAGATTTACAAAAGGCAAAAGATGTATATGATCTGAAAAGAAACCAGGGTCTAATTTCAGATTTATAAAATGTCACAAAACTAATAAAATGGGGGCTGGGGAGATGGCTCAATTGAATAAGCGCTTGCCTGGAGGGCCTGAGTTCAATCCCTGGCTCCACACACACACAAAAAAAACAACTAATAAAAGAATTCCCATATGCTTCACCTAGTGCCTCTAAATGTTACTATCTTACACAATTGTGGCTTTTTTTTTATGTATTCGGTACAGGGTCTCACTACATAGCTCAGACTCAGTGATGCTGCAGTTTTCAGCCTCCCCAGCCACACCCGGTGGCCGGCTCAGCATGCCCAGGGGCAGGGCCGGCGTGGCATATGGGGCCGGGGATCCAGCCCCAGTCCCTGCACTTGCCTATGCAAGCACTTAGTCTACTGAGCTATCTCACCAGCCCAGTGGCATTAATTTTTGAGACCAAGAAATTAACAACAAATATGCATTAGTCTCTAAATCAAAAATTAAGAAAGCAGGTGTGCAAAAGGCCTCTAGAGCGCCCTGAATCGCTCAAATCCCCTCTCGGTCCCGGGCCTCTGCGCCCCGCTCCCCACAGGGCTTCTGTGCTCTCAGGACAGAGGACAGGCTTTCTCTTGCTCCTGCCCCCCGCGTGCCCCCAGCATCACCTGCACTAGCGGGGCCTTTGGTTTCCTTTCCTTTATAGTTGGGGTGATGCCCAACTTTCTGATTCAACAAAGCCCGAGAGACAAGATCACCAGCCGTGTCATTTCCAGCCACTAAACACCCTTCTTCAACTCCACACAAATGCATGTATCCCACAAGGGGCTCCAGCTCCTGCACTCAATTCTGCCGGCCAATACCATTCACAGCCCTATGACAGACAGGGCTTTTGAAAAATACCAGCTAGAAGAAGACAGAGCAGCCCCCTGCACCCTCCACCCTAGGCAAAGCCACCACTCATCTTCCCAAATTTAAGGGCCTCTCCTGCCGCCCTGGCATGGGAAAGCCCGGGAGCTAACACAGAAGAGGAAAACCCAGAGGACAGCTGTACTCACTGGGCTTCACAGACGCCAAAGGGACAAACACCTGCGCCAGCGGTGTGTTCTGGGAGGCCGGGGAAGATGTCGAAGGGCTGGCCTCCCAGGACCAACCCGGAGATGACTTGGTGCCCGGCGGCACTTCCTTGGGGATACTTTTCTGGGGAACATAATTCCTACAAGGAAATGAAAAATATCAAAGACCACCAAGAATTGTACAGAACTCCAAGAATCTGTGGGTAGTTTTACTAAAGAACACGATGAGAAGATGAAGGAAACACGCGCACACGCGCGCGCACACACACACACACGTATGCACGTGTGACATCCATTAAGAGGGGCATATCAATAACAGGAACTTGGAAAAAATGGGGTATACCGATGAATGTCCATTTTGTATTTGTGTATTCCAAGTGGTTAGGATAGATATATAGTTGCATTCTCTTCATGAATAGAATGATTTGTTCTAATGGTGTTTGTAAATAGCTTCACAAGTCCACTTCGTGTACAGCAATTAACCACTAAGAAGAATATATGCAGTGTATTATTTGTTGAAACTGTACTTCCGATTGGATTTGAAACTGTCTCATTGCTATCTGTTTATCAATAAAACTTTGAAAAAACAAAAAAAAAAAAGAGGGGCATGATTAAGTATATCTACATAAACTAAAGAGAAAAAAAAATCTGCACAATTACAATGTACCTATTAAAGAAAATCAGATTTATATAAACAAATGGGAAAAAGTGCCGTAAAAATAAGCGACAGCGCATTGCTACCGTGTACAGAAAAAGCACCTTAGAAGAGTGGGATTCAGGACGCCTATCACAGATTTCCCCAAGGATCAAGTTACGCTTGATTTCAAATTACACAGCAATCAAGAAAAAGCAGCAAGCATCAATCTCCACTGTCGTCTACCTCTCTCTGCTCCTTTACAAGCCCCGTGTGACACATCCTAGCCAAAGTGCAGATTCGCCCAGAGTGTGAGAAAGCAATCGAGACAGGAGGTGACAGCGCCACCAGCAGGGCAGCCCAGAGTGAGAAGGGAGGGGCCATGGCTGCCCCGGCTGACCCAGGCTGCCCAGCCGCAGGCGAGGCACCCTACACCACCGCTGGACTCACAGAGGGCCCCTAGAAGGCTGTGGGGACAGGAGGTCCAGCAAGCTCCTGTCTGCAGAAGGGCTGTGCGCGCTTCCGCCGGGCAGCACACTGGCGGTGGGATTCTCCTTTTCCTTACAGCATTTCTGACCAGCAACCTGTGAGACCAGGAATGGCTAAGTAAGGCTGGCGTGGCCCCATGCCCTCCCAAGTCCCAGGCTCAGTGCAGGCGCTGAGGCTGGAGGAGAAAGAGCAGGAGAGCAGCCTCCTGGGCAGACCTGCAGGAGGCAGAGCCCGGGACAAAGGCAGATGAGGGCAGGGGTGGGGGTCACTCGGACTGTGCAGGACAGAATGCACGGGGGCGCTGAAGGACTCAAGACCATGGTCACCCCCTCCCCAGGCGGAGTCAGCAGCCCTCCGCCCACCCACCCGCTGAGCCCTAGGGAAGAGCACCCTACCTCACACGGGATGGGAGTGTCACTGATCCCTGTAGGGAAGAACGAAGGTGCACAACTGTAACTACCTGCCAGAGACAGAGCAGGAAACGTGCGTCCTTTCTGAGAAGGACGTTCACAAAGTCAGGAAAAAGGAGGAAGCAACCTAAGCCATTCACTCTCGTGGCAAATGTGAGACTAAGATGTAAAGGGACTTCTCGGAACTGCCCAGCTCCCCAAAAGTAGGCTGTGCTCCCTGCACACCCCCACCCCGCCTCTCCCTGCTCAGGGCCACTGTGCCTGCGCCTTCCAACCAACCCCTCTCACCTAAGGCTGCCAGGTCCTGATGAAGCAAGGACGGTGCCACAGGCCCAGCCTGCTCAGGGCCACTGTCTGCGTCCAGGTCAATCAGGGGGGAGTGCTTCACACAGCCTGAGGGACTCTGAAAGACTAGAAGACAGGCAGGCAGGCCGGGAGAGCGGTGGGTCCCAAGAGCGCAAGTCCCCATCTTCACCAGCACCCTCAGGGCTCTTCCTGATCACACCACCCCCACCTCCCCACCCTCCACTTGGCGGGAGCACACCCCAAGCCTCACGTGACAAGGGGGCGGGCTGAAGATGGTTCCCCCCACAGACAAGTTCTCTCCCACAAGTCCCATCAGCCTGGGCAGCAACAAACACAGCTGCCTCTCTACTCAGCGGGCTTGGGAAGGTTCTGGTCATGGTCACCTACAGCACTTGATAAGCAGACAACCTAATCTACGTCTGGCAGCCTCACTGAGGTCAACACTGAGACCAGAGAACCCATTAACCAGTAACCCGGATACAGCTGACCTAGGACCCCGAGGACCAGCGGGGACGTTTCCACAAGCAAGCGCCAGGGGACAAGTGCTCTCATTTCTACACCATAGCTCCCAATACTCTGCAGGGCCAACCCTCCTCTGGGATTTGCCAGGTGCCTCAAGGTGGAAGGCAGTGACAGCTCTTCACACATACCTCTGGAGACAGATGTATCTCCCGCCGAGCTAGTCACTGTATTCCCAAAGGTGACAGGACCTTCCATCACCTGCTTGTACAGCAGAACTCCCTGAGTGAGGAGGTCATTTGCCTGGAGAATCTCCGCTAGAAATGGAAGAACAATCAGAGCCCTGGGGTGGCCACCGCACGTTCAGCGTTCGCTTTCTAAGCAGCAGCCCTCAGGCAGTGGGCCAGGCTCAGCAGCCGCCTCCTGCCCCCACGCGGCACTGCTCAACCTGGAGCCCTCAGAGCCCAGGACAGGAAGAAATAACGTGTGCGCACCACGTCGAGCTGTCCACCATGACAGCCAACCATAAGCACTCACAATATGCTTCTTTCCAGCTGGGCGTGGTGGTGCACACCTGTGAGCCCAGCCCTCGGGAAGCTGAGGCAGGGCGATCCCTGTGGATCTGAGGCCAGTCTAAACCATATAGCAAGACGGTGTCAAAAACAAAAACACGTCCCCTCCCCTTAAAATGCCTCATTCAATGAGGATCTGACGCTTTTCATTTTAATTAATCTGAAAGTATCTGATTCAGTTACTGGAAAGCTTTTAAATATTAAGCGAACAAATCAGCATTTGAGTTAGCTTTTCAACCTTCTAATTTTACAGAATTGCAAGTGTAGGCCCAGCGTTTCCCACAAAATCTGCCTGATGTCGGCCGACGCACCAGCGCTCAAGCCGCTCACCGCCTCCAGCTTTCTGGCTATCGATGGAGACTGCAAATGGCCAGCGCGCCGACTCGGCAGCACACGCTTCTGCCTGGCATGTCCCCCACACGCTTCCGGCTGACTGCCTGTGACCTCACTGCCGTCACTGAGAACACCGGGGGCTGGATGATAAATAAAACGCTGATACCCCAACACCACAGCCTCTCGAACAAACCCCCAAACACGGGGTGCCAGGAAGTGAACCCTGGGCCTGGGCACCAGGCTTTCACTCCTGGCACTTTCAGTTTCAAGACAGGGTCACTGAGTCACTAAGTTGCCCATGCCAGGCTCAAATTTTCAATCCTCCTGCCTCAGCCTCCCACAGTGCTGGGAAGAAAAGAATTGGCCACGGCGCCTGATACAATTGTCGCCAACCCTAACTTGATCTCACTGGTGATTATCACATCAGATCAGAAGAAGGGGGTGCACTCAGCAACTCCAGAGGGCTTTCCAGGTGAAGGGATCCACTTTCCATGCAAGAAACACAGACAGGGGCAGGCCAGCCTTGGGCCTCTGCAGAACCTGTCACACGCCTCGCTTTCTCGGGAGGGGCCGCCTCTCTAGGACTTTAATCTGCTGACTCCACGCTCAGGCCTAGGCCTTGCCCTTTCCAGCCCCACCCCCACAGCACCCAGAGCTCAGGCTGCCTTCTTCCCGGCATGCAGCGGGAGGCCTGCATGTGCTTCGCGCAGGCAGCCTCGCTCTCCCGGCAGCAGCAGCAGCGTTACCAAGCGCGTCGTCATCATCCATGGTGTCACTTGCCAGCCGGAACAGCGTGGGCCGCAGCCGCTCACACCTTTCGTACACGACCTGCGAAAACAGAGCCCGCTTCACACACTCGCCTGCACGCCCGCCCGCTGCGGCCCAGGCGCTTCCATTCAAGCAGGACATAGTGGCACTGGGAGCTCCCAGAGTCATGCTTCAGGTCCCAAGTAACACGGCACTTCACTTCGGAAAGTTTGGGCTATAATGTAAGTTTTCTGTCAGCAGTGAGGATCAAGCTCAGGCCCTGCACACACCAGGCCACTTCTCTACCTCTGAGCCACGCTGCTAGGCCTTTTTGAGAGAGGAGCTCCCTAAATTGCCCAGGTTGGCCTCGAACTTGTGATTCACCATCCAGAGCAGCTGGGGCTAGAGGTGTAATCACCATGCCCACCAGTGTAGGATTTTTTTAAAAAGTAAGTTATCTAAAAAAGTAACAAAAGACCTCAGCTCACAAAAAACCCTCACTATCTCTGTGCACATGGCCCCGTGGGTGTGTGTAGGGGGACAGGCACAGGCTGAACAGTGGCACTCTCCCCGATCCCCCATGAGCACTGGAACTTCCCATCCCAACTGCAGTCTGATGCTTTGGTCCCCTACCGCGACCTTCCCAGGATGCCTGCCCAGCTCCCTCGACGCTAATCCTCCTCCCCAGCCCCTTCTGGACGGTCCCATTTTCTTTATTCTGGGAAGACAGTGCCACACAGCCTCGCCTCCCAATGCTGCTGAGGAGGAGACAGCTTCACACAGCCTCGCCTCCCAATGCTGCTGAGGAGCAGACAGCTCCACACAGCCTCGCCTCCCAATGCTGCTGAGGAGGAGACAGCTCCACAC